GTGAGATTTATACTGATATGTGTTGACAATTGGTAGGCGCATTGTTGGTGCCCGGATCGTGTTTTAGTCCAGCGGGCTGTGTAGTGTTGTGTAAGGGTGGTCCTGCACAATGTGTAGACGGATATTGCATTTGTGAGAGTCTAATAACCGAGATCGAGCCGACCAAAACAAAAACGTGCAAGACGGACCGTGATTGTCCTGTTTCTATTATGCTTGTCTTCATGGAGAATGTACTTGTATAGCAGTATAAACTAATCGATTAGAAAAATTATATAATTCACTTTTCCTTCTCTCTATTCTTTCTATGCATCTCGGATGATGGAATTTCAATGTTCATCATAGGTTGGGCTCAAAAACCGAAACCGAAAAAATTGTTCGAACCAAAAACGACACAAAACCCGAATGGGTTTTAAATTTCTACAACCAAAAAACCGGAACCAAACCCGAATCGAACCGAAAACCGAATAGATAACATAAATATAATTATATGTAAAAATAATTAGTTATTTTTATTTTTAAAATACCAAAATATCTAAAATAATAATTTTATACTGAATATATTAGTTATATTTAGAATCAAATAACCAAAAAATTAAAATATCCTAAATCATTTAACAATATATATTTAAATTCAATTTTTTTGCAAAATTTAATTTAATTTCATTTGAACTATTTAATTTTTGTTTTTTTATCCGTTATGGACCCGAAACCGATCCGAACTCGAGCGAAACCAAAACCGAAATTAAAAAAAAAAAAAACTGTTTTTATATTGCTAAATCCAAAATAACAGGGCTAGTTCATCACGTCACCACACTAAAAAAACAAATTAGAAAAAAGAAAGAAAAACCTATTGGACTTGTGTTATTTGATATCTCTAGGCCCAACACCATTTAATTAATAGATACAATTGGCAGTGGTTATCAAAGTTAATCCATTCAAACTAAAACCAATCTGGAATAAAATACGACCGTTAAAATCTGGATCAAATCAGAAAACTTTTTGGTTTTTGGATATCACTAGAGATGTCAGTCGGGCCTATAGTCCGCGGGCCAAGCCCAGACGGGCAATTGCGGGGTGGGTTCGGGCTGAGAAAATTAGGTCCGCAAAATTGCGGGTTTTGCGGGTTTGGACCAGGCGGATCCAGATTATGGGCGGGCAAACCCGCTTCGGGTTTGCGGGCTTGCGGACAACCCGAATAATTATTTCGCTTCTTACACCTTCACCGCTTCTCACCTTCTCTCTTCACGAAATCGATACCAAACATGCTTGATTCTGCAATTTGATCGTCCTAAACTGAGATTGATGCAACGTTGATGGGTCCTTTGGCTAATTGGCTTCTCTTCTCCTCTGATCAGATTATGGTCTCGTCTCTCCATTTTCCTCTTCATTTCTTTTCGCTTTCTTTGGTGTTTTCCCAACTGATTATGCTCATCTTTTTGCACGAATTGGCTGGTCTTTGCGTCGCTACATCAATTGCTGAAGTAATTATTCGCTATTTCTGGTAATGATTTGGGATTCTAAACACTAATTTCATATAAGAAAGCTCAAAGCTTTTGTTAGAACTTAAAGTAAAGAACAGAGTCAATTAAAAATAAAGCTTTATTTATTACAGAATCAAAAGAAACCAAACAAATCCCTAAATGTTAACCGTATAAGTAAGCTTAAAACTTTTCGTTGGAGATAAGAAGAGAACTGAAGTAAAGATAATAATTGTGTTCTTCAGTTTCTGATTTCTAAGTTTCTTCTTTATTGATCGTTTTTGATTTGTTAGTTTGTTTAATTTTGGCTTAGTGTGAACTGAATCTGTTGAGTTTAAGAAAGGTCTAAGTGCTGGTGGTGATGATTCTATTTTGTTGACCAAGTGTTGTGATGATGAGCTTCGGGGAATTTTTTTATAGTCCAACTGATACATTTACCGATTTTTGTTTACCATTTACCGATACCAAGAACCGCAATCCGAGAGCTTTGGAGACGGTTCTACGCGCCTGAGTCCAACTGAATAAGATCTCCCTCCATCGGATACATGAGTGATGAAAAACGACTTTACCATCTACACAGTCTCTAGAACTGTTTTATGCTTCTCAGATTTCCACTTATTATTTAAGTTTGAATTTTCTGTCTTTGAACTTCTTGTTGCTTCTCGGATTGGTTTTTATCTTTTCAGTTTGAGTTTCCTCACTTTCGTTACATTTTCATGTCGTTGAACTTTTTGGTTGTTGGGAATGAGTTGAACTTTTATTACAGTTTCGTTCAACACTTGTTTCTTCACAGTGTCTGTTTGGTTGGTTTTGACTCGTTACAGTTTTCAACTTTGTGTTGGATTAACACATGTTTCATTACAGCTTTTTGTTTTGTAGTTATTTTGTCTCTTTAAAGTTGTTTGCAGGACCTTTTATGTTTCAGAGTTGATGTTCTGTCTTTCAACTTGTTGTTGTTTCGGATTGAGTATAAATCTGCAGTCTGTTATGACTCGTATACTAAGTTTGCTTCTTATTCTTTGCATTAGGCTGTTAGCATTCTCGGCTAGCATTCAAAAAAGTCTTAGTTTTATAGTCTTAGGCTGTTAGCATTCTCAATTTGCTTCTTCCTCTTGGGATCTTTGAAACTCTGGTTTTAGGTATGGAATCTTGGCTTCCTTTGAATCTCTGTTTTTAGGCGTGAAACTATGGTAACATCTATGCGGATAATTTTAAAATCTCTTAGTCTATAAATCTTTGTATACCTAGTTGCTTACTCTGTCTTTTTGATATAAACTTTGATTGCTTGGGGAATCCGAATCATGGCTCTTTGATATGTCAGAATCATGTCTCATTGATTCAGTCAATAGAGTAGTAAATGATTTGTCGCAATGTCTCTTTGGCATTATAGCCTTCTTAGTCTAGTCTGTTGCTATTGTAATTGTGTTGATCACTTGATTGGCTTTGTTGATGTTTCTTTGATCAAACTTAGCGAGAAGATGGAGATGAAGAAAGAACCATGGACTCCTCAATAAGACATAATGTTGGTGTCTTATATCCAACAACATGGCCTTGGAAACTGGAGATCCGTTCCTGCAAACACAGGTATAAGTCTTTCGTTCACTAATGCTTTGTATAACCAGGTATTCAAAGTTGATCAAACTTAGCCCGCGGACGAACCCGCAAAACCGCTAATATATGCGGGGCGGGTATGGGCATATGTTTTCTGACCGCCGCCCGCAGCGGGTGGACCCGCGTGGGCACGACAAACACGAACGGCCCGATGGGCATGTCCAGATGGACGCGGGCCGGCCCGACTGACACTTCTAGATATCACCATGGTGATGTTATCCCTTGTTTCTTGTTCCGTCTCCCTTTTCTCGCCGCCGATTAGTCTCCGGCTTCATTTCCCGTAGGTTACAGCTCTATGTTCCCACGGAAGCTTCACTGTTTCTACATTTTGGACTGAGCTACAATCAGGCCCAGCCCTTGCCATGCGCAAGGAGTGCATTTGCACTTGAACTATTTCTTTTTTGAAAATTTTTATTACATTTTGAGGTCCTGATTTTTTAAAGATTTGTAATAAAAGATCCAAATTTTGAAATGTTAAAATTTACGCCATTAAGTTTCTTAAATTTTTACCTTGGCACATGACCCAATTCCAGCTCGGGTTTGGCCTGGCTACAATAGTTGCTTGTCAGTGTCGCCGGGAAACAGGTATCGTTTTCCGATGTAATTGCCTCAGCTCTCCGATTAACGTTGAGTATGTGAATTTAGAACTTCTCCGCCCATATTTGTATACTTTTGTATTTCATATATAATCATTGATGTGGGGGGCGGGGGGGGGCTCATGAATCTTTGCAAAACGGTAAACTTTTTATGGTCAACAGTCAAACAATACTTTCTATCTACTTAACAAACCAACATACTGTTTACTCTTTTGTTAGCAGCCAATACAATTACATCGACCAAACATTCACTTAGAATTTGTAGTCAACAAATTATAATAAGAATGTCGTAGCAACTAATATTTTTTTTTGTTGACCAACAAAACAAAAAGGAATTATTTTGTTTTTAACAGAGTAACTGTAAAATAATGAAGATATGTACGTAATTAATTATTATTATAGATAACATGAGTTGGCAAATTTGACCGGGATATTGTTACTTGCCATAGTTACGGGATTGATATCCTCCACAATTTGTCCTAATAACTCCAATAGAATTGCCATTTTCATGCTCCAAGACACAATATATAAGCAAATTGTATCGTAACTTATTCACAAAATTTTGAACCACGAGCAAATCACACAAAACAGAAGACATGGCGGCAGCAAAAACAACCATTTTCATTGTTTTTGCTCTTTATATCTCATGTTAGCTTCTCTCTATACAATGATTCGGTCGATTTAAAAACCCAACTTAAAATGTGAGATTTATTCTAATATGTGTTTGACAATTGGTAGGCACATTATTGGTGAACGGAGCCCACACCTCATGCTTTGGTTCAGCAGACTGTGACGTGTTGTGTCAGGGTGGTCCTGCGAAATGTTCATACGGAGATTGCGTTTGTGAAAGTCTAGAAACCGAGATTCAGCCTACAGAAACGAGAACGTGCAAGACGGACCGTGATTGTCCTGTTTCTCATAAATGTGCTAAAGACTACTATTATGCTTGTCTTCATGGAGAATGTACTTGTACAGCAGTATAAATTAATCGATTAGAGAAAAAAAAAATTAACACACTTTTCCTTCTTTCTATGCGTCTCCGATAATGAAAATTCCACAAAACAAGTATACAACCATCACAAAATACTTTGTTGTTAACTAAAAAATACTACTCCAGAAGTTTTTGTGGCACATCCAGAAGAAGAAAAACTTATTGGACTTGTTATCTGATATCTCTAGGCCCAATACCATTTAATAGTTACAGTTGGCAGTGGTTTATCAAAGTTAATCCACAAACTAAGACCAATCTGGAATCAAATACGACCGTTAAAATTTGGATCAAATCAGAAAACTTTTTTGGTTTTTGGATATCGCCATGGTGATGTTATCCCTTGTTTCTTGTTCCGTCTCCCTTTTCTCACCGCCGATTAGTCTCCGGCTTCATCTCCCGCCGGTTACGGCTCTATGTTCCCACGGAAGCTTCCCTGTTTCTACATTCCAGACTGAGCTACAACCGTTGCTGGTCAGCGTCGTAAATCGCCGGGAAACAGGTCTCGTTTTCAGATGTAATTGCCTTACCTCTCCGATTAACATCGCAAGTCAAACGGGTAGGTGAATTTTGGTACTTCTCTGCTTACATTTGTATGCATATTCGCAAACACTTGTTGTGCGTTTTTTCATCAGCTGCTGTGTTTGCTTCTTCCTTTGCAGAGACGGAGACTCTATTTTCGTTATTCCGAGATATTGGGTTTAACGAAGAAGAAACGGAGATGATTCTGACGAAGAACCCAGATGTAAAGTCTTCGTCTTTGGATAAGATCAGCGCTCGTGTCGCTTCTCTCAAGTCTCTGAAAGTCGATGGCTTTGCGCTTCAGGGTTTGATCGCAAAGTGCCCTACTTTACTAACCTCAGAAGAATTCGATCTCGTTATCACATTCTTGGTCGATGAGCTCGAAGGAAGGCTTGAGCCTGAGCTAGTGGAACGCTTGCTCGCTGTGGCAGAGACATCTGTCTTGCTCAGTTTCAACCAGAAGGTGAGATTGCTTATCAACAATGGGATACCAAAAGAGAAGATCTCTTACGTGTTGAGCAAAGTGTACTTGAACAAACTGCTGTATCAGAAATCAGTGGAGGACATTGAGAGATTGATTAGTTTCTTGGAACCTTTCGGTGGAATCGGTATCATCGCGAGAAGGCCAGTTATTCTCAACAGTGACTTGGATACTCAGCTGATTCCTAGGGTTGAGTTCATTAAGAATCTCAGCGGGGAAGACGATTTCGCCACTGGAACCGTGCTTCGTAGACTCCCTGCGATATTGAGTTACAGTGTTGACCATATGAACAGCCACGTGGAGTTCCTCAAGTCCTTCGCTGGCTTGACGAGCGAGCAGGTGTTCAAGATCGTTCACGTGTTCCCTAACGTTATCAGCACAAGCAAAGAGAGGAAGCTTCGTCCGAGGTTGGAGTTTCTGAAAGATTGCGGCTTTGATTCGCCGGGGATCTTCAAGTTCTTGAGCAAAGCGCCGTTGTTTCTTGCTCTATCGGAAGACAACCTCTCGCATAAGCTCTGTCTTCTGGTGAAGATTGGGTACAAGCACAGAACGAAGGAGCTTGCGTTTGCGATGGGAGCTGTGACGAGAACGAGCTCTGAGAATATGCAGAGGGTGATTGGGCTTTACTCGAGCTACGGTCTCTCGTTTGAGGAGGTTCTTGCTATGAGCACGAAGCATCCTCAGGTCTTGCAGTATAACCACACTTCTTTGGAGGAGAAGCTTGAGTATTTGATCGAGTACATGGGGCGTGAAGTCGACGAGCTTCTTGCTTTCCCTGCGTTTCTAGGGTATAAGCTTGATGGCAGGATCAAGCACCGGTATGAAGAGAAGTTGAAGAGCAGAGGTGAGAACATGTCTCTTAACAAGCTTTTGACAGTTTCAGCTGAAAGATTCTCTAAGTCGTCGGCGGATAAAATTGAGGTGATTTGTTTATGATTCGAGTGATAAAAAGAAAAGTTAGTGAACCGAGTTCGAGTTTCATTGAGAAGTTATACTAGTTCAAATGATGAGAGTTTATATCACAGTTTTTCTCATTTGGATATATCTAAAAAAAAAGTTAGTGAACCGAGATTGATTTGTTTTATCTTTCTTTTTTTGTATATGTTCCTTGATGTTCTTGCTCATGGGTTACTTAGTGCCTCAAATTGTTAATGATGAGTTGAAAAACAATAACTTTTATACAAACTGTTAACGGAATAAACTGTGTATTACACAAAGACAAAGACAAACTCTACACAAACTTCAACTTGAATAATACACAACATATTGTGGTATATGTAATATTCTTATTCCGGCTATCTCGTTCTTAAGAAGAAAAGAATTTTGTATATATTTTGATTTGACTAGAGATGGGTTTGTTTTTACAAAGTAAGAAAAAATCACTATGCCTTGGGCCTTTTGATTTGTAAAGCGTTTCTCTTGGGAGCTTTATAGACGAACCGGTAATCCAAAATTCTGAAACGTTCTGATTTCCCCTCGTAAACCGCCGGTCACAATCACCATGGACCAAGCTGAAGCACTCGGTTTTGTGTTAACATGTGCACTAGACATGTCCACGCTCACGCGAGGGCTAGTTCGGGCTCGGTTCTTCGCAGCCAGCAAGAGTTTCTCCTCCGGCCTTGTCGCCGAGACTCTATCGAAGAAGTATCGGTTTGTGGCGCTCGAAATGATACCGGTTTTGTTGTTGGTTGGATCGTTGACAGGTGTTGGAGGGCTATTACTGGGTGTGAAAAGTTTGCCGGGCCAAGGTGCAGCCACAGAGACGTCTCGACAGTAAAAGTGTTCGTATGAGTTTGTGACCGTGACACGTTTGCTTCTCCCAGCTCGAGAGTCTGACTCGTAGTTCCATACATAGACGTTAGAGTCTTCGCTTGCTGATACTAAATATTTCCCGTTTGATGTAAGTGAGGCCGAGATTTGGCTATTCGTGTTCCGAAACCCTAAACATCAAAATTTCGCCTCCATGGATTATTGAATTCTAAGCACGAAGAAGAGAGTTTATAGCTTAGTATTTTCGTACCTTTAAACTTGTGAACAAGGTCAACACCATCGATAACACGTGTACGTGAATCTGCAGATGTGACGAGCACTTCCGATGAACTTCCCGCCACAAACTGTTTCATGAAAATATAGTCAGATAACAACAACATTAAAAAAAAAGTTACATTCTTCTTAAAAAAAAGGCACTTGTTTTAGGTTTACCTGAAAACCAGTGATTTTCTTGTGATTGGATTTCTTTTTCTTGTTCTTCAGATTGATTTCCTTTCTCTGCTGCAGTTTGTTATCTAAATTAAAAAAAAAAAAATTAAGTTCAAAAGACAGATGGAGATAAGTGTATAAGTAAGGTTAATAAGTTTAGATATACCATGTGTGTTGTATAAGTAGCAAGTCCCCTTGTACGAACCAACCAATGCACCCTTTACAAAGCAAGAGAGCTTCATTAAGGCACTGCATGAATTGATTTTACCATTTTGTTACTTGGTAAAAAAACTTGATGGCATACCTGACCATCCGGTGTATAACAGGCAGCTGTGACCATTTCATGAAGATCATTCCAGTCAACAACTTGATGATCAGGAATGCTCCATATGCGAACCTTTGCATCCAACGACCCACTGATGAAGTAATTTTCGTCCACTGGATTAAACTGGATGCAAGTCACTGTGTCCAGGAAACAAATACCAGATGAGAGAAATCTCATGTTACATAACCCACATATATATATATATATATATATATATTGTTATCTCTTTGTAGGGATTCATCAATGGCATGAGACTGAGATTTCGTAAGACAGATATATTGACGTACGAGTCTTTCCAGAAACAGAGTTGACACTTGAAGCGACTAATTTATTCTCCTGATATGCTTAGTTTACTAGAGAGTAGAGACTAAGATCAAAAAGTAATTTTGGTGGGGAATAAGAGGGTAAATATTCACTCACCATAGTCACTATGTGAGAAGACTTTCAAACATGTCTTGCTAGATAAATCCCATAGACGAACAGTCTTGTCCATTGAAGAGGAAAGCAGTTGCTGGAAACAAAAAACAATGGAAGCGCATTAATGGTTGCATCTGATTAAGAGTAGCTAATCGAAGCAGATTCTCACATAACAATTCCTTCACACAAGCAAAAAGGTTGCAAATAGCAAAAGGAGATGCTCAGGAGAGTAGTACCAACCTGAGATTTCGACCACGAAAGGTCAAGCACATCATCCGAATGCCCTACAAACGAACACACGGGACTCTCCGAAAGACCAAAGACTGTTTTCGGAACCAGAACATTCTCCAAGCTCACTGATTTTCGACTAAAAGATGCTCTCCCTCTTCTCCTTGGAGACATTGAAGCTGGCTCTGGTGATCCATCCCCCAAAAGTAACAAATTTACGCTTCCATCGTCTTCTTCTTTATCCATCGACAAAAGCTCCCCTTTTCTCTCCGACTCAACAACCTCCCAAACATGAATCACACAATCCTCACCAGCACTAGCAAGAAACCTCCCATCCAAACTAAACTTAATGCTCCAAATCGACCCTTTATGAGCTTGAATCTCTTGGCTCTTGAAAACCCCTGTGAGCTCTTTACATGACTTCCCATACTGCCTAACCTTAACTCTCTCCGGGCCGTGAAACGACGTATCTCGGCTATCATCAGTTGCAGAGCTAAACCTATGTCCTCCTCCTCTCTCCGACGGTGAGTCCCCATCGTCTGTGCTTCGTCGCTCTTTGTGACCTGTCACACTACTAGCAACACTCTTTATACTCTTTAGCCAACTCCCTCTCCGTCTATGCTTAGTCACTTTGCTTCCACTTACGCTGGTTTCCAAATCCACAGAGTCTTTACAAACATTTTGCCTCCTCATTAGCTCGAGCGCGATCGGAGATGTCCCAAAACGCATCTCAAACTCTTCCACAGTCAATTGTACATCAGTACCCACCTCCTTCAGATTCTCCAACATTCCATCTTCTCGGACTTCATTCACTACAAACTCTTCGCCTGTATCTAGATTCCTAATTGTGCACATTTGCTCCACCAAATCAACATCTCTGCGATTCCCGTGAAGTGCATTGTTTAAGCTTTGTTTCTCTACAATGTCTCTAAGAGAAGTCTCACTCGGCTCTTTGCTAATGAAATCATCAACAACTCCAGCAAGCACATTGTTTTGCGTACCGTTTACCGGCGAGCGAGATCTCAGCAGCGAAGATACGCCGCCGTTTACACCGGCTACGCATTTACCGTGACGCTTTGAGATGATGACGTCAGACGAAACCGATCTAGCGAAATGAGAGCTGCAAATCCGTTTTCGACAGCTCTTAGGCCGGAGCTGGGTCGCCGGAGGGAGATCCGGCTCGTTGCTGAGCCCCAATCCACGCAAGAGCTTGATTCGTCTCTCCGACACTGATTCAGGCTCGGATTTCCAAATCTCGAATCCGGAGGGAAGCGGAAACGGATTCGGGTTGTGTATCGAATCGGAGATATTGGGGTCGGAGTCGTAATCGGAGTTGGAAGTTGAACAAGAGCAGGAAGAGAGAATGCGATCCAGAGACTCGTAGAAACAGTCGTCGATGGCTTCTTCTTCCTTCCTCACTCCATTAGCGACGTCGTTTCGTCCGGTCATCATCATCATCTTCAGCATTTTAACTGTAGCAAAGGTATTTCCATATTTGAACAGAGGAAAATGCCTCCTCTAAAGAACGATCCGACACGGTTGCGAAATTTGACTTTGTGGTTTCCAGCGATTCGAGTAGAGGAATTAGGGTTTCAGAGAATCAACGAACTCGCCAATGGGGAGGTTGAGTAGAGACTCAGATCGGATTAATGAGAGAGGAGAGAGAGAAGGAAGAAGAAAACTGTTTTAATTGTCCTGCAAAAGAGAAAGAGAGAGAGATAGGAATTTGAAAAAAAAAAAAAAAAATAAAAAAATAGAGAGAGATGGGAATGTTGTCAAAATGAAATAATGAAATGATTTCAATTTTTTTTCACTTCAATATAGTTGTGTATATTCAATTATTCATGTTCACTCTTGTTTTCGGATGGATTTGAAAATCGTGTTTAAGTTCAAAAAAAAAAGCAAAAAAAAAAAGGTACACCCATAATGTCATAATGTGGAGAATAAATAATGGCACTGAGACAAACAAAACGAGAGGATCGGAAACAGTATAATTATTTTTTTATATAGCTATTTTCCATTAGTTACTACTTGTAATATTAAGGAAATTTGAACCAATCTTATTATATAAAACTGGATGCCGCACGACGTGGTTGCGACACGTATGATTTTTATAATTTATAGGATCACGACATGTGTCACTTTTAATTTTACGATTGTGACACGTGTCTTAGAAAAAATTAACAATTAAAAAGATTTAGGTAAAGGAAAATTAGAAAAAAAAATATTTATATTTGTCATATCCTAATAAAAAAATATTTCACATTCATCAAATTTAGAAAAAAAAATGAGAAAAAGAAAATAGTTATATTTGTCATATCTTAATAGAAAAAGATTTCACATTCATCAAATTCATATTATCCAAACACTTATTAAATTTAAACTAATAAATAAATAAAATCCTATTAGTTTATGGAATAAATTATATAAAGTAAATTTCCTACAACTTCATGAAGTATGTTACATAAACCCCTATAAAAATAAAATTAAAGTAGTTTTTTTCTCATTCACAAACTCATCAAAGGAAATTCATCAAATCTCTTTGATTCTCTTTTTCTAATTTAAAAATCATTTCTTTGAAAGTTTACGAAATGATCACGATTTGTACTTTTGTATGATTTTTATAACTAACAAAATTGCGATATATTTTTATATTCTCATTACGAAAAGGAAAAAAAATATTATAAGTTATTGCGATTTAGTTCTGTGCTTTTATCTTTTGTATGATTTTCTTTCTCATTAAAAAAATAAAAAATCATATCTTTATCAATGAATAATATTTAACTTGATATCAGTTGGATAGAAATCAAAATTATTGTCGTTACATGTATCTAATAATTGATCATGGGAAGACATGTATTAACACAAGTAAACTGAAATAATGTTAAAAATATGTAGAAACTAGCAGAATAATGGTCTGAGGCAAAAACAAAATTGAGAAAGAAACAATATAAATAGAAAAATAATAAAATAATTATCAAACAATTAAGTACTATTTTAAAAAAATATATAATGAACCAATATTCTAATTTGAAATAGTTTCATTTTCAATATTGTTAAGTAAAAATATTAAATAAGTATTTCATCAATTGAAATCTCTTTAATGGAATAATCAAATTTTGTTGAATTAGTTAGTTAATCACATTTAGACATATAGTCTTTCTATATTGGATAAAAATAAATAAAACAAAATAATTCATTTTTCACATCATGACTTCAAACAAACAAAAATAGTAATTACAATAAAAATGTAAAAAAATACCGATCTTATTTTATTTAAAATTTTTTATCCGATTTTTAATATGATTATGTTTACTTTAAAAGTGATCAAATTTTGTTTAATATGTTTCCGTGATTTTGTTATAAAATCTTAAAGTAAATCTGCGTATACGCTGGAGTATTACATAAAATAATCATATTTTGAAAACTAACTCGTTTTATAAAATCTTGGAAAACTAATCTTTTTAACCTTCAATATTACTAAAATAACCTTAATCTTTCTAGATATTAAAATTGTTTTAAATTTGTTTATCTTATTTAAAAAATATTTAAATTGTAAAAAAAATCTGCTATTATAAAGATAATTCTAAACAATTATTTTTATTTTATATAATAGAAAAAAGAAGAAAAATAACTTAAACATTGGATATTCCTTTAAAATCTGAATAAAATCTACAACTAGAAAATAAGATATCTAGAAGATCTTATTTGAAATTTAACATCTCATAAATATAAAATATGATGTTATTTTAACACATTCTATCATTTCTTTTAAGAGTGAAGGGTGAGTTTTTCTTTGTTCCAAAATGATATTTATGTGTATTTATTTATACAGTTTGATTAATATGAATATATTTTCAAAATAACATGTGTAAATCCAACTTTAAATATTTATTTAAAAATATCTAAATTATTTTTCGTAAATATTATATATATATTTATATAGAAATTTAATATACATCTCTTATATATCTTAATTTTAAAGAAATTGTTTTTTCATTATTAATAGAAAAATGATAATGATTTTATTGTCTTTTCCCTTATTAAAAAAGTTAGTTTTCAAAATTTTAAAAACCAAAGTTAGTTTTCAAATTATGAAATTTTTTAGTAATATTAAATCATTTCACCCTTGTAATATTATTGGAGAAACACATGATAAGTTGATAACCAAACAACAATAACTTTTTTTTTTGTTAAACTATAATAACAGGAAATCTGTTTAAAGAGTTCAAAATACAACAATATTATTTAATTTCAACACATTATTAATGCACGTTCAAAGCATATAGGGACAAAGCTTTCTCAATTCTTGTCATCGAAGGAATCAAAAGAACGAAACTCAAGCTATCCATGACACAGTGCATATACATAAGTATTATAATGGGTATGTTAAAAATCGTCAAAATTAGTAACACAGCTAATCCATGAGTCCATCCATAACCGATAAAATAGGCTCTCCTGTAAATATTACAAGTACGAGTAAGAATGGAAGATGATGAAAATAGTATTGTTCTCTTTCACTCTACTATATTTTTTTTGGGGGGTAAATTGTCACTCTACTATTTAAACAAGAATGGTGACCCCAAAAAAAGGAATAAAAATTAAAAATACGATAAATTAAATAATACTGTATTTATTTGGTTTCGATGTCAGAGCCTTCGTGGTAATAGAGAGCTAGCGATAACTCGTCTCTCAACCAGCAAACGGTCTGCGTAGGACCTTAAATGTGCTTCTACCTCTTCAATTCATTCATTAAAACTTAATTTCTATTAAGGTTGCATATTTGTTAGCATTAATATATTTGTTGATAAACTAGGCTCAAAATATATTGAACAACTTGATACTAGTTTTTTGTTTTTGTTCGAAATTTCGACCATTGAACAACTAGATAGTATTGAAGTAATTATTAACTATTAAGATAAAGTTATAATAAACGAATTAATTATTTAACTTCTTGTATTATCTACCATTTTGTATCACAACCATCATCTTAAGTTTCAATACACAAAGAAAAAATAGAAGTTTCAATACGCATAGTTGGCATAAAACGAAAAAGAGACGACATCTTGATAAGAATCTATTTATAGCAATTATATTTCTTAAGCAAATTATAAATGCTTTCCGGTCACCATAATTTTGTTTTTTAAAAGAAACAAAATAGAACCAAAAGTAATTAACGACAGGCTAATAATAGAAAGAACTACATGGTAGAGCAGGTTTCAATATAAAAATCACAGACATACCACATGGGTTGATTCTTAAAACACAGCTGTTGAGTTAATTAAGCCTATGAAGACGATTACTGTGCTAAACCACTGAATATAAAACCAAAACATATTTAAATGAAGAATAATGTTCTTCTTTTTTTTTTTTTCCTTTTTATATATGTGAGGTGCTGGTGATGATTGTTTAATTTTGTTTTAGCACCACTCTCATGGCCATTTGCAAATTAAATTCGTCTATCGTATCTTTATTTGATTATTTCTGTGATTGAACAACAATATATGTAATTTCTTTCAAGAGTTGATCGATCGTCTTAAGCAGTTAAGCGAATAAGCGTATATGTGGATGCCACTAATTACAAACTAATGCGTGGATGCCACTAATTAATAGCTATATTGACTGAAAGGTTAGGTATATAAATGTTTGTTTCATATCATAAAACATGTTCAAAGTAAACATTTGTTTTTATTGATCAAAAGCGATCTGTCCTTGAATAAGATAGGCAAAAAAATTAGCACGTTAAGTCGATACTACGCTTAATAAAGCCGAACAAGACACATCAATATAGATGAAATAATAACACTCAGTCCGTATTAAATTTCAAAGCGTAAACCTAAATGATTCTCAAATCAATATATCAAAATCATAGAGATTTTCTAAAATTGTATTTAGAAAGAACAAAAAAGCAAAGAAAGTTAATTGAACAAACATAATTAAAAACAAAAAAAAAAACAAAAAACCGGAAATTGGATATTGTATTACGGCCCAAGCCCATAACAACAATACACGCGCGACGCGTTTTTGTTTTAAAAAAAGGAAACTTCAAAAAAATGGAAACTCTCTCTCACACTCCTCTTTATAAACAAATCAACATTCATCTCTACAGTACAACTCGTTATCCCAGATTCACAGTCAACTAGGGTTTCCGTCAATCGATAAGCTTTCTCAGATAAACAAAGCATGTCTGTGTTTGAAAACCATCTACTCGAACGAAATTCCAAAAGGAGAAAGATCGAACAAAAGACCAAATCTTCGGCGTTGTTTTCTTTTACAAACTGTGGTCACTTCTTCGTACGTTACGGAATCTGTTGCAACTGCAGATCGACAGTAGCGAGACACGAAGGCCTATCATTCGACTATCTTGTCGACGGACTACAATTAAGCCACGTAGCCGTGACGGTTACCAAGAAACTTACTACGCACGTCACTTGTCTCAACGAGAAGAAGCTTCACTTGGTACTTGACTTGGACCACACGCTTCTCCACACCATCATGGTTTCGAAGCTTTCCGAGGAAGAAAAGTATCTAATCGGAGAAGTAGATTCAAGGGAAGATCTATGGAGGTTTAGCGGAGACGAGTTCTTGACAAAGCTAAGACCTTTTCTTCACGAGTTTCTCAAAGAAGCCAACGAGATGTTCACCATGTATGTTTACACGAAAGGGAATCGAGATTACGCAAAGTCAGTGCTGAAGATGATTGATCCAGAGAAAGTATACTTTGGGGATAGAGTCATAACGAGAGACGAGAGTCCTCATGTAAAGACGCTTGATCTTGTGTTGGCTGATGAGTGTGGAGTTGTGATTGTGGATGATACTCCTGAAGTGTGGCCTGATCACAAGAGTAACCTGTTGGAGATCACTAAATACAACTATTTTAGAGACAAGAGAGTGGAGTACACGAAATCGTATGCAGAGGAGAAGAGAGACGAGAGTCAAAAGGAAGGATCGTTGGTGAATGTTTTGAAAGTTCTCAAAGAAGTGTATGAAGGGTTCTTCAGCAGAGGAGTTGACAAAAAGTTAGATACTGATTCAAATGATGTGAGGCTGTTGCTGCATGATTTGTGCACACCACAATGTTGCTAATTCAAAGGATCGTTGGTGAATGTTTTGAAAGTTCTCAAAGAAGTGTATGAAGGATTCTTCAGCAGAGGAATTGATAAAAAGTTAGATATTGATTCAAAAGATACACAGTAAACTCGGATTATGATCTTTTTTTTTTTTTTTTTCCTTTTTCTTTAATTTTCCATAGTTTGGTTTTGAACAATTTGTAAAGAACCTATAAAATACACTGTAATGAGTGACTAATGATGTATGAGAATTTGATTCACACATATTTCAGAAACCTAATGGAAATTTAAATTGCAATGTTTCTCATTATATATTAATCAAAGACGTTAAATGAGCATATTTTTGTTTTTTCTATCGTTCCCCTGACGTTTTTTTTTATATAATTAAAAACTCAATGACGTCAACATCCACCAGAGGAAAGGAAATTGCATTTTTCTTGTATTTTCTTATGTTGTAATTTGTAAAAAGAAAGTTGCTTTCGTGTTACCCTACCATTAATATTAGTATGCGTGTCGGTGCGTATCTATGTTCTTTTATGTTCCACCGAAACTCGATAAGTCATAATTGAGACTGAAGAGAGAATTAAAGAGACAAAATCAAGTTTTACTCTGCCATCAAAACTCATGGAAATGGAGAAGAACAAAGTCACTTGGGAAACCAAACAGAGTATTCCTCTCCTAAAGCCGTATAAGATGGGAAACTTCAATCTTTCACATAGGTACTTGTCTTGTCTTGTCTCTTTTTTAGTGTTCTTGATGCTTTATTATGCCTTCCCATATGACCAGCTAAAAACTTCCCTTATGAATCTATGATCTCAGGATTGTTCTTGCACCACTGACGAGACAGAGATCGTACGGAAATGTTCCTCAGCCTCACGCTGTCTTATATTACTCCCAGAGAGCCACGCCAGGTGGTTTTCTAATCACTGAAGCCACCGGAGTTTCCGATACAGCTCAAGGGTCATTATATATAACATAACCCGCTCTTGAAAACATCTTTCATCTCTGCTCTTTATGACCTAAAGTTTAGTTTTTTTTATTTTGTTTTTTTTTTCTGTTCTCTCACAAAAGCTATGAGAATACTCCTGGGATATGGACTAAAGAGCAAGTGGAAGCTTGGAAGCCAATTGTGGACGCTGTTCATGCGAAAGGTGGTATCTTTTTCTGTCAAATTTGGCATGTTGGTCGGGTTTCTAATCGAGGTTTGTCTTTGTCCCATATCTCTCTTTTTTCTTCAATGAAATTTGAAATTGTGATCTTTAAGGTTTTCAAGGGTTTTCTTGTTCTTGGCTTGTTGTTAAAGGTTTTCAGCCAAATGGTGAAGCTCCAATTTCTTGTACGGACAAGCCATTGAAGCCAACCAAAGCACTGTTTTCGCCTCCAAGACGGTTAAGTACGGAAGAAATTCCCGGAGTCGTCAATGATTTTAGACTCGCTGCAAGAAATGCTATGGAAGCCGGTAAGCAATTGAAAACGAAGAAAATATATTCATCAAGAATTTTTTTTTTTTTTTTTTTTTGAATAACTAGGAAGTTCTTGGAAGTGATTGTAATATGTAATATTGGTTCCGTCCCAAGCGGCATTGATCCTGTAACCTCGATTCTAAGCTTTGCCTAGGGTATTTTACTTGGTGACTCTTTCTTTTTATGGTTTCCATTGAATGTTTTATGTTTGCAGGCTTCGATGGAGTGGAGCTTCACGGAGCGCACGGTTACATGATCGATCAGTTCTTGAAGGACAGTGTGAACGACAGAATCGACCAATACGGTGGATCACTACAAAACCGTTGCAGATTCGCTCTGGAAGTAGTGGTAGCAGTAGCCAAAGAGATCGGGAAAGATCGTGTTGGAGTTAGGCTCTCACCGTTCGCCGATCTCATGGAATCCGGAGACTCTAATCCAGAAGCATTAGGGCTTTACATGGCGGAATCTTTGAGAAAATGCGGAGTTCTCTACTGCCATGTGATTGAACCAAGATTGAAAAGAGGAGGAGAGATCAAAGAGTGTCCACATGAGACGCTTGCGCCGATGAGAAAGGCCTTTCAGGAAACGTTCATTGTCGCTGGAGGTTACACGAGGGAAGACGGGAACGAGGCGGTGGCAAAGGGACAAACCGATCTTGTGGCTTTTGGTCGATGGTTTCTTGCCAATCCGGATTTGCCAAAAAGGTTCCAAGTGAATGCGCCGCTGAATAAATACGATAGACCAACGTTTTACACTTCTGATCCTGTTGTTGGTTATACCGATTACCCATTTCTAGAACCTACGGTTTCGTAGATGCGTTTCTATGTGTTTTTTTTTGTTTTTGTCTTTTTGGTTACCATTTCATGTAAACATGTAACTAAGTTTTCGTCGTTTCCAACTTTCATATTGTCGGAATTTAGGTATTTTATAGTTTGCTGGTGGGCAAAAACAGAGCATCTTATCATGAAGTAAGAATAATATGTTGTCAAGTGACAAAAAAAAAAGTTTCAGCTAATTCTTGTTTGAAAAAACCTAACTCTAGGTTTTCCTACTATGATCGGATTTTTGAAACTTATATAAAGGGATTTACGTTTGTAAATTAATATACTAACTATTAGTTTACCCTTTGACTTAATTAATCAAAAATTATATTACAAAACAGATATAATAACAATAGACGCGTTTTCAGAAAAAAAGGAAAACTTCAGTTACTCTCTCTCTCTCTTTCACACTCCTCTATTTATACAAATCATCATTCATCGGTACAGCTAACTAATTATCACAAACAACTAGAGTTTCCATCAATCGATAAGCTTTTTCAGATAAACAAAACATGTCTCTCTTTGAAAATCATGTACAAGAACCAGAATCGAAAAGGAGAAAGATCGAACAAAAGACCAAATCTTCGTCGTTGTCTTCTTTTACTAATTGTGGTCACTTCTTCGTTCGTTACGGAATATGCTGCAACTGCAGATCGACAGTGGAGAGACACGAAGACACGAAGGTCGATCATAAGACCTTTTCTTCACGAGTTTCTTAAAGAAGCCAACGAGATGTTCTCCATGTATGTTTACACGATGGGTGATCGAGATTACGCAAATACAGTGTTGAAGCTGATTGATCCAGAGAAAGTATACTTTGGGGATCGAGTCATAACGAGAGACGAGGGTCCTCATACAAAGACGCTTGATCTTGTGTTGGCTGATGAGTGTGGAGTTGTGATTGTGGATGACACTCCTCAAGTGTGGCCTGATCATAAGAGTAACCTGTTGGAGATCACTAAATACAACTATTTCAGAGACAAAAGAGTGGAGTACACGAAGTCTTATGCTGAGGAGAAGAGAGACGAAAGTCAAAAGGAAGGATCGTTGGTGAATGTTTTGAAAGTTCTCAAAGAAGTGTATGAAGGATTCTTCAGCAGAGAAGTTGACAAAAAGTTAGATATTGATTCAAAGGATGTGAGGCTGTTGCTGCATGATTTGTGCACACCACAATGCTAATTCAAAAGATTGTGATCGAGTATTATTTTTTTTAACAAGTGAGAGATTGAAACAATCTGTAAAAACAAAGTATGATATCCACCCATATTTTCTTAGTTTGTTTATATATTTACTCAATCTACGTAAGTAGAGTAAACAAAATCCTAAAAAGGCAATTTTATCTAATTTCATTCTTTTCTTCTTTCTCTAGTTTCATTCTTATCTTTTACTCTTTACTAGTTTATCAGTTCACCAAAATATTTATAGAAAACCAAGAATAATTGAGTGGAAAATTTTATGATCACTAGATTTTTTTTCTTAAATATTGAACCAAATAAAATATTTCTATTTTAGTTATAAATCCACATCAATTTATTATCTTAACAAAACTGGAAAAGGAAAAAAAGTATATAATATAGATCTTATTCATGCTGAGGTACATCATCAAAACTATATCTTAGAAGTATACAATCTTTGGTTTGTTAAAAAAAGAGAGGATTGAAAATGGGTTCCTCCAAATTGATGGTTACACTCGCTCTTGTTGCTATGGCGGCCATTTCTTGTGATCTTTTCCCTGGTATATATGAACTTTTTAGTCAAAATATACTTTCATCTATACAATTTTGTATCCTTCTCCACATATCTTGTTTTTTTTTTTGTATGATTGGTAATTGAAACAGAGATAATCGTGCAAGCTGCGGCTCCGATATGTGGACAAGATTGTACCGAGAAATTCCAAAGACGAGACTGCTATAAACATTGTGTAGGGTTGTCTTATAAAAACGGTGCTTGCATTACATCGGATGGACTTCCTCCTAAACCTTCTACATATCGTTGTTGTTGTTTCTAAACTAAATATGTAAACCATCATCAATAATCTTTTTCATAAAATATGTTTATGTTTTTCTTTCAACTAGTAATAAAGGGAGAAAACAAACAAATCTCAGTACGTATTAATTTTCCTATATTCATTATACATACACATATATGATGGTAGTAAACTAGTAATTATAATTATGTGATATGTTTTGATATATACATTTTTCTGATAAATGACAAAAGAAGGGCTTGTACCATACTTTACTAGAACCACGGATGAACCAAATGTTGAAGTCTTTAATACCAGTTTAGTCACCTTATAGTTCGTTAAGCAATTTACGAAACACAAAAATGTACCCATGGATACTTACAAATATAAGAGATTTTTATATATAGATGTACATTATTGTTAATTAAATGGACCCATGTAATAGTAATATTTTTTTAAATAAATGAAAACAAAACTATCCAACTTCTTTTCTTTTCCTTTGTTTTTCTAAAGGCTTAACTGTCCAACTTCTTTTAACTTCCACTTCATTATGTTCCCTCTGAAAAATCTGAAAATAACTGCCAAATAACATATGGCACTGTAAATGATTCACATGCTTAATTTCAGAATAAATTACTTGTTTTACTTTCTATATATTCCTTTTTCTTGATCTTGTGTTACTTTCTATGTCCTCATATAAAGACGCTTGAGCTTGTGTTCGAAGAACATTGATCTTGTGTTGGTTGATGAGTGTGGAGTTGTGATTGTGGATGATACTCCTCAAGTGTGGCCTGATCATAAAAGTAAGTTGTTGGAAATCACTAAATATAACTATTTCAGAGACAAGAGAGTGGAGTACTTGAAGTCTTATGCTGAAGAAAAGAGAGACGAGAGTCAGAGGGAAGGATCGTTGGCGAATGTTTTGAAACTTCTCAAAGAAGTGTATGAAGGATTCTTCAGCAGAGAAGTTGACAAAAAGTTAGATATCGATTCAAAGGAACAATCTGTAAAAACGATCTGTTGCTGCATGATTTGTGCAGAGATTGAAACAATCTGTAAAAACGAAGTATGATCCACCCATATTTTCTTAGTTTGTTTATATATTGACTCAATCTATACAAGTACAGTAAACAAAATCCTAAAAGGCAATTTTATCTAATTTCATATTTTCATCTTTCTCCAAGTTCATGATTATACATTTATACTAGGAGGTGACCCGCGCTTCGCGCGGGAATTTATATTATTGTTTTTTTTTTTTGTTTATCCGCAAATTTAATTAATTTATGTGGTTTATTATTGTTTCAAAAATATTACACATATTAATTAAATATAATTATGGTTAGGCAAAATTAACGTACCGTCTTGTCCCATATTGTATCCCATTTCATTCATTTTCATCATGTCCGTTCTTTCCCGTCCCATCTCATCCTATCCCATTATGTTCCTTTCCATTTCGATATGTCCTATCATGTTCCTTCCGTTTCTTCTCGTCCCGTTCCCTAAATATAACTAAGGATAGGCAAAATTCCCGTATAGTCCCATCCCGTCCCATTTCATTCCTTCTCATCTTGTCCGTTCTTTCCCGTCCTGTTCCGTCCTGTCCGCCCTATCGAGTCCCATCATATCTTGTTATGTTTTTTTTTTGCCGTGTCTCTGTCCTGTCCCTAAATATAATTAAGCGTAAGTGAAATTTATGTCCCGTCCCTTCTCGTCCCATTATGTCCCTTTCATCCCGTCCCTCCCGCCTCATTCCGTTTTTTTCATTTCGTCATGTCTAATTTTTCTGTCGCTTCCCGTCCAGTCTTATCCCGTTTCGTTATGTTTCCGTCTTGTTCTGTCTCATCGTGTTCCTTTTGTTTTTTTCTATTCCGTCTTTAAATATAATTTGAAGTAGGCAAAATTATATGGTATCTCATTCCTTTTCGTTCCTTTACAAACCATCAACATAAATGATATAATCTAACATAAATAAATTTACTAAATACTAGTTTTTGTAGATCTATACATAATATTTTTCCTTTTTAAAAAATGACTTTTCATATTCTTGTTAAACTTATTATAGTAATGAATGCTAATTATTATGAAATTAAAATATTAAAAAGAGAAAATATAATAAATTAAATAAAATGCTGGCAAAATGGAGAATTTAGAAGCACCCTCTAAAAGTGAGATGGCAGCCTAAAAATAGAATCACATCAACTTTATATATATATATATAGATTTTAGGAAAACCAAGAATAATTAATTTAGGATAAAATATTTAGGATTTCTTTCCTTAAATCCACATTAATTTGTTATCATAACATTAATTTGTTATTTCATGCTAAGATATAGATCTGAAAGTTACGGTTATGACCTTTTATAGATCTATTCATGCTCAGTTAAGGTACATCATCAAAACTATATCTTAGAAACATACAATCTTTTTGGTTTGTAAAAACGAGAGGATTGAAAATGGGTTCCTCCAAATTGATGGTTACATTCGCTCTTGTTGCTATGGTGGCTATTTCTTGTGATCTTCTCCCTGGTATATATGATTTTTTTAGTCAAAATATATTTTCATCAATACAATTTTGTATTCTTCTTTAACTTCTCCACATATCTTTTTTTGAATGATTGGTAACTGAAACAGCCATTATCGTGCAAGCTGCGGATCCGATATGTGGACAAGATTGTACTGAGAAATTCCAAGATCGAGACTGCTATAAACATTGTGTAGGGTTGTCTCATAAAAACGGTGTTTGCATTATATCGGATGCACTTCCTCCTAAAACTTCTACATATCGTTGTTGTTGTTTCTAAACTAAATATGTAAATTCATCCTTAATCTCTTTTGTTCAAATATGTTTATGGTTTTCTTTCAACTAGTAAAGGAAAATAATGTAAAAATCGAAATAACCTAATTTCAAACATCGAAGAAATTAAGGCATTAATAATTTAGTTTTTTATTTATAAAAACTAGAGTCTATGATTAATGGTTATATAAACTGATAACATGAAAATTCTCACAAAAACTTTAATAAAAAATAAAAATCAATGCTCATGTGTCACTAAAGTAGAATGCAAAACGAAACAGGAATCAGATTCACATCCTTGGAAGGTAAACACATTCTCAGACCACTCCGTAGATCTCTCAATCTTTCCAGATGGGCATGGCACAAGTGAAACCTCTGCACACCAAATCTGCGTTTTAGGGCCAGACTCTAACCACCACAAAACTGTCTTTCTCATTCCTCCTACATGGTTCTCGACCGAAACAAGATGATTCGTGGTCTTCCCCTTAAGTCCCACAACTCTCTTCCACGGCTTATGACCACCCTCGCAGCGTAGCCTTGATGAAACCAAACTCGCTTCAACTCCGACATCTAATGGCTCCCAAGTTTGTGTCTTCGGGTCGTAAACCTCTCCCGACTTGTCGCTGTTAACATACCTGCTGCTGCATCCTCCGACCACACGAATCTTACCTTCCTCTGTTACATCAACGGCTGCTTCGTTGCGAGGCACATGCATCTTGGGGAGTTCACGCCATTGATGAGATTTACAGTCAAGAACAACCACTCTCCTGCTTCTTTTATGTTTACCAAACCCGCCGCCGATTATGTAAATCTCCGAACCAACGGAGAGAACGGTTGATGTGTCGGAATGCTTGTAAGGAAAGCTAGGGATCGGTATCAGTTTGCGTTGTTGGTTGGGAGTTTCCGATAGAAGGAACCAGCAAGGCTTGTTGTTCAGATTTAGCCACACGTAGAGGCACGTCTCGGGTTTTCCGACGAGGGATCTTGTGGCCTCTAGGTCAGAGGAAGCCAGGAGCGATCGGAAACGCTTTGAGACGAGAGATAGGGTTGGATATTGGGTTCTTGAGCTACGAGCTAGACAGTTTAGAGCGACGTCGTACGGCAACGAGGAAAATGACGGACGAGAAGTAAGAGGCGACGCAGACTTTGATGGTTTCCTCATCTCCGGATGGACGCAGAGGTTTGGTTTAGAGTTTCGTCGTTGTGCTTGCTGCTTCTAAAGGGCTTTGGATTCAAAATATCTTATGAACAAGACTAAGCTCTCACTATATAAGCGGTTATTATAAGTTAATGTTTAATACAATCCGGAGAAGGAAAAGCTTTAAAAACAGGAAACAGAAAACAGAGTAATTTTTTTTTAAATATAATTGATTTACTCTTTCTGTAGTATTTGCTTTCTTGTTAACACAGTAATAATAATAAATTACTGTTTAGTTTGATGTTTGCGAGACTGCTGAAAAAGTTTGTTGCAACCATCACTACTATAAGCGGTTTTATGATTTAACTAGGAGAGAATGCGCGGGTTTATTAAACCAAATATTTTTAATTTAATTATTCAGAACATTAGATTCGAATATATCATTTGTTTTTTACTCGAATATATTAGATTCTGTAAGTTTTGCATTTTGTTTTTTTTCATATAGTTTTAAAATTTAGTTGTTATTTACGTGAAATCTTATATAGACTCATAGTGAATAGTTTCATATGTTTTTTGTTCTTTTATACAATAATTTATCGACTGGAGTTGAGTTCTTCTAATTTTCCTTATACTAACAATCATTATAGATTGATTATTATCCTACAGACTCATAGATAATAATAATTGCAATCCTTTTTAAAAGGAAATGAAATGAGCTAATTAGCCAGTAAGCCCATTTAAAGCTACCATGGAAACGAAGAGGTCCGATAAATAATCAAGCCCATCAAAACGAACAGCATTACACATAATTTTGATTTAGATTTTTTTTTTTTTTTTACGAAAACGACGTCGTTTTGGTGTAAGACAAAAAAAAAAGATAAAGCGCAAAACGACGTCGTTTTGGTGTAAGACGAAAAAAAAAAAAAAATAAAGCGCAAAACGACGTCGTTTTGGTGTTAGGCGAAAAAAAAAAAAAAAAAAGAGAGTGCCACGTGTCAAAGGCTGGAGATTGTCCAAGCCTTATTAGTTATGTAGATGTTTTACCAATCCGGAAAAGGAAAAGCAAAGTAACAATAATTTATTAATATTTGATTTCTTACTTATTTTCTGTAATATTTGGTTTCTAGTTAGCACAGTAACAATAAAATTACTAGTTGTTAACAATAATAGCAACATACGGTATAATGTCGAAACAATCTTTGTTTTTTTTAAGCTTAAAACTACAATTATGGATTGTGAATTTGTGATTGTCGTAAATCATTTGAATATGTGGTCATGATATTTTCGTGTTTTTCTTTATTGTAGTTCTGGATGAACTAGATAATTACTTAAGTGGACATATAATATTATTAGAAAATAATTATTTTAGTCGTGTAGTTAACTAATAAAATCAGTATTTGGAAGTGTTGTATGTATTTTGGTTTAAAACAAATATGCAAAATTGCAAATATTAGCTATGCATCTTTAATTAGGTTTACATAAATATGCATACGAAAAAAAGATGTAAGAGAGTGTATTGAATTTGGTATTTGGCTGATTTGATGTGATTTTTATTAAAATGACAAATCCACTATTGTTTAAATTTGAATTCTAAAAACTCTTTAAAAATCCAGTATTATTGAACTTGTGATTTTAAAATCACTGTTATTGACAATATTTTTAAAAGTGGATTTTGAAAGATATATACGATGGTACAGTGATTTGGTGAGATTTCCTTTTAAAAAATATAAGAATCCAAATCACATTGTTTTATATGGGATTTTAGAATAGTTTAACTAAACCCATAGGAACTTATATGCACACATAATACTCTAATACCACACTAAAAATTAAATCACACTAAATCAGTTCATTATATTATTACTGTTTCCCTCTAATGGGTTTTGACTTTTAATTAGTGAAAGTCTTTAATTAAAGAAAAAGAACAAATCTTAACATTAAAACCAAAAAAAAAAAAAAAAGAAGAAGAACAAGACAATAACTTGGAAAGAAAGTTATGGTCAAGACTCATGGTCTCATGCATGACCATTTATAAATATCTCATTTTCATTCTTTGCTCAATAAACATCAAACCACATCTTTAAAAACGAGCAATCTTGTTTGAGTGTCGGAGAGACATAATTACGATGAGTTTTTCAAAATTGTTTGTTGCATTAACTCTCGTGGGTACAATGTTCATTTCCCATGACCTCTTCTCCGGTATGTCACATTCTATTTACGATTGACAATCGCATAGTCGTATGATTTTGTTTTGGTCTTTTATATTTCTTAATTTTTATGATGTATATGATTCTACGAATAGGAATAAATGCGAGAACTGTGCCTCCGACTTGCTACGAGGGATGTAGCAAAGCACTTCAGAATCCACAATGTAATGCATTTTGTCAAGGATTGGCTTATAAAAATGGTAGCTGCATTGACCCTGAAGATGTTCAGCACCCTGTCTACCTTCGTTGTTGTTGTAACCCTGTAATTATTTATGATCCTCCTCCTTCTTCTCCTTGATCAATATATTTCCCTTGTTTCTCTTTTAAATATATACTAGAATAATGCTCGTGTTATACGAGGGATAAGATGATTATAAAGTAAAATTATATTAATATATTTTTATTTAAAAAATCTAATATAATTATTTAATGGAGAATTTGGAATTTAATATTGTTTTTATTTTGTAAGTAATGTGTTTCACCTATGATATAATTCTAAACAATAATTATAGTTTAAATTAGAAAGATCAACGTAGCAAGAATTATTGTATGAAATCTGAGAGTTGTTATATTTAAATTTGAATAAAAATGTGTTTCACCAATTAAATAATTTCAAATAAACAGTTTAGTTTTTAATTAAATATTTTTCATGCTCACTGATTTTAAAGTAAACAATAAAAACGAATTTAATTGAAATATTTACCACTAGATTTATGAAATAGTTATTTTTGGTAAGTTTAAAAATATAAAAATATGTTTGGTTATAGGAATTAGAATATTCAAAATAAATAATAATGGAAATAAATGTGTTTGGTAATTGGTGTAGAATAAATAAATAAATCAAAAATAAAAAACTTAGAAAATTTATGAGAGTGACATCAGCAAAGTTGGCCTCCAATGTTCCTCCTAAATATTTTTTTTTTTAAAAGTTGGTTTCCCAAAAGCTTTCTAAGCCCAAAGACTAATCCAACCTGGCTTTACATCCGGTCACGCGTTATCCCATCGTCAAGGGCGCGGCTAAGTGGCCAAGGCGACTTGGTTAAATTAAAATAATATTTTTTAGTGAAAGTCATATATATCTTTGAATTTATTAGTGTCATTTGTATTTTCCTTTTTTTTAAATCGATTTCTTTTCTTTTTTTCTTTATAGATAATCGTCTTATCTCTGTTCAACAAATCAAACCAGAGCTAATGAAAACAGCTGTTAATTTTTATAAAAGAGATATAATGGAAAGTTTGAGTGTGTATCTCTTTTATATGTTTTCTTATTTCACTATTATTCTCTCTTGTATGTAAGCAGCTAGATTAATTTAGAGTTTTATATTTTGTCGAAAAATACAGAAAAACAAAAAAAAAAACAAAAATTTATCACTTTTACATTAAATAAATTTAGAAAACTGCATGCATCATTAGAAATCAATTCTTTTTAATATGTACTTTTTCCTAAATTTAATATTGAATCAAAGTCATGATTCAAATAAAACTTATTTGAAGAAGATGTTTAGAAACAAATTGCTTCTTAATACGTTCAAAATTAATAATAACATGATGTGTCACGATCTCATAAATTATAAAAATCATATGTGTCAAACTCTCATCGAGCGCATCCAAATTTATTTAGTAAGATTAACAAACTTTTAATTATATATATACACTATTTCCTCCGTTTTAGAAAACTTTATGTTTTAGAAAAAAAAAAATTGTTTCATACTCCCTCTGTTTCTTTTTACTTGTCGTTTGTCGTTCTAGAGATAAAAATACATCTGATTATTGTTCTTCAACAACTACTTCGTTACCTTTGCTCTTAACATTCTTCTTCTTGTTTGCGGTGTAGCTCCCGAAAAGAGTCTCCATCTCTTCCAAAGGCATACCTTGTGTCTCCGGAAGGAAAGTAAAGAAAAAGACCCATGCGGCGGCTGCAACTCCGGCGAAGAGAAGGAACGCACCACCAATGGTGAGACCTTTAGAAAGAGATAAGAATGTCATTCCAATAATACCACTCATCAATCTATTCAACATCACTCCCAAACTTGCCCCTTGAGCTCTTAGCCTCACAGGGAATATCTCCGAGCAGTAGACCCACGTCACCGGGCCAGCACCTATTGAGAACGTTGCTACAAAAGTCATCACCGTGGTAACACTAAGCCCTATAGCCCACTTGAGCGTCTGTCCCGGGTTTCTGTCGATCACAGTGAGACTAGTCCCGAGCGCGGTCAAAGAAAGAAACATTCCTCCCATACTCGTGAGCAACAAGGCACGACGCCCAAACCTATCGACCACACAAGTCCCTACAATGATAAATAGCGTTTTGACAACTCCCACAGCGACTGTAGCCAAGAGCTGATCATTCTTGGATTTCAATCCAGCCTTTAAGAAGATGGTCGGAGAGTAAAGCACGACCGCATCGATTCCAGAAGCTTGCTGAGCGAAATGGATTCCAAGGCATGCTATAAGGATGTGTCGGACGGAAGGAGTTGGTCGGACGAGAAGATCCTTCCACACACCTTTTCCAGCACTTTTCTGATTCGGGACAACTATCACATCGTCTGTCATGTCGTCGGGGATTCCAGCAGCGCGTTTGATGTCATCGAGCCTCGAGATGGCTTCTTCTTTTGTGTTTGAGGTTTTGTCGAGGACTTTAAAAGCATCCCCTAGACGACCTTGGAGGACAAGCCACCGTGGAGACTCCGGCATTGCCAACACTCCGATGGCTAGGAACACTGAAGGAACCGCTCCGATACCTAACATGAATCTCCATCCAACATGCTCGGGAAGCTTGGAGAAGAAGTAATTCGATACGTAACCTAAAAGTATACC